GGTGGGCCCGGGTGGGCCCGGCGCTGCCTCAGCCCCGGGGCGGCCAGCGGGCTTTGCCGGGATCATCTCAGCAGGGATGCTGGGGAAAGCCGGCTCTGCCCGTGTCTCTGACTTTTCATCTTCAGACGTTTTGGTATCGCTGGATTCTCCATGTCGTGAGCTCAAGTTCCCCCCATTCCGCTCCGTTGCCGTAACCTCAGGGTGATAAATAAACTTTGCGGCTGGGAAAACAGGTTTGCAGAACTCTCCCCAGAGCAGCGGAGCCGGGTGGATGATCTAAGCTGTCTGGGTGCTGCACTTGGGTCACGACAACCCCACACAACACTACAGGCTTGGAGAAGAGTGGCTGGAAAGCTGCCCAGCAGAAAAGGACCTGGGGGTGTTGGTCAACAGCCAAATGAGAATGAGCCAGTGTGTGCTCAGGTGGCCAAGAAGGTCAACAGCATCCTGGCCTGCATCAGGAAGAGTGTGGCCAGCAGGACTAGGGCAGGGATTGTCCCCCTGTATTCGGCACTGGTGAGGCCACACCTCAAATACTGTGTTCAGTTTTGAGCCCTTTACTGCAAGAGGGACATTGAGGTGCTGAAGTGTCTCTGAACAAGGGCAATGAAGCTGCTGAAGGGCCTGGAGTACAAGAGCAGCTGAGGGAAATGAGGTTGTTTAGTGGAGAAGAGGAGGGTGAGGGGAGACCTTATCACTCTACAACTGCCTGAAAGGAGGTGGTAGTGAGATGGGAGTTGGTTTCTTCCCCATGTAAAAAGCAATAGGATGAGAGGAAACAGCCTGAAGTTGTGCTTCAGGGGAGGTTTAGATTGGATATTAGGAAAAATTTTTTCACTGAAAAGGTTACCAGGCACTGGAACAGGCTGCCCAGGGAAGTGGCTGAGTCGCCATCCCGGGAGGTATTTAAGAGGTGTCTAGATGTGGTGCTTAGGGACATGGGGCCAGAAGGGATGCACCCAAGAATGCTGAAAGAGCTGGTGGGGGTGCTCACCAAGCCACTTTCCATCATTTATCAGCAGTCCTGGCTGACTGGGGAGGTACCAGCTGATTGGAAATCAGCCACTGTAACTCCCAATACATAAGAAGGGACAGAAGGATGATCCAGGAAATTACAGGCCTGTTAGTCTGACTTCAGTACCAGGGAAGCTGATGGAACAGATCATCCTGAGCACCATTATGTGGTACATGCAGAGCAACCAGGTGATCAGGCCCACTCAGCATGGGTTCTTGAAGGGCAGGTCCTGTTTGACTAATCCCATCTCCTTCTATGACAGGGTGACCTACCTGCTAGAAGAGAGAAGGGTTGTGGATGTTGTCTAGCTTGACTTTAGCAAAGTAGCAAACTTACTGCGCCCTCAGTAAGTTTGCAGATGACTCTAAATTGGGTGGGAATGTCAATCTGCTTGAGGGCAGGGAGGGTCTGCAGAGAGATCTGGACAGGCTTAATTGATGGGCCAAGGCCAATGGCCTGAATTTCAAAAAGGCCAAATGTCAGGTCCTGCACTTTGGCCACAACAACCCCCAGCAGCACTACAGGCTTGGGGAGTAGTGGCGGGAGAGCTGCCCAGCAGAGAGGGACCTGAGGGTGTTGATTGACAGCTGGCTGAACATGAGCCAGCAGTGTGCCCAGGTGGCCAAGGCGGCCAACACCATCCTGGCCTCTTCTCCCTAGTGATTAGCGATAGGACAAGAGGAAATGGGATCAAGTTGCACCAGATGAGGTTCAGATTGGATATTAGGAAGAATTAATTCACAGAAAGAGTGGTGAGACATTGGAACAGGCTGCCAAGTGGGTGTTCAAAAAACAGGTAGTCATGGTGTTTCAAGAGATGGTTTAGTGATTAGGGGTTGTAGGGTGGACAGTTGGACTTGATGATCTTGAAGGTCTTTTCCAACCTTGATGATTCTATGGTTCTGTGGTTTAGTGGTGGACTTGGCAGTGCTGGGTTAATGGTTGGACTCAATGATCTTATGCATCTATTCCAACAAAAATAGTTCCATGATTCTGTTTCTGGAAGCTCAGGTCACCATCCTGGATTGCAGGTCACCTCACCAGCCTGCTGTCACAGGGGAAATTGCCTGTTGCACACCTTGAGTGACTGAACAGCTCTTTGTCAGGAAACAAGTGTAAAAAAATCCACGTTTATTGAAGCACTGTGAACCAGAAATATGCTCATTTTAGTCCTAATAAACACTCAGCATCTCCATATTTTACCATTTGCTCCCCAAACTCCAAAATTTCTCCAAAAAGAAACAAACAAGCCAAAGGTGCTTGAAACTGGTCACGGTTAATAATAGCATTGGACTCTGAAAAGCAGTGCAACTTCTGTTGCACAGAACAGCAAATGCAGAAAGGAACCGTGAAATGGTGACCTGATTCCTAAGTACGTATGTGTCCCCACACAGGACAGAAGAACGTAGCAACACCCAGGTGATGCAGATAAGCAGACACTTCTTTATTCAAGGGCGCTGAGGACACGGCGGGTAACTCCACCTAGTGTTTCCTAAGTTGCATTACAGCCAGCAGGTTTTTACACATGCAATTTCTTTGGTACAGATTGTTTAGCATAAAAATGCATACAATGCTCGCCCTTAATTACTCATTAAATTTAATCTTTACACTGATTGGCCTCTTGTGATCTTCCAAGTTACATATCTTTATGTATATTAATTTCTAACAAAAATCATTGGTCGTCTATTGATTGTAGTTCCTGATAGTCATGATTTGTTACTGTATTATTCTTTCCACGGCAGTTGCTTAAACATAATATCTTATTGACTTTACTGTTGCTAGTTAAATATAATACTAGACCCTAGCTACTTGCACCACCTGCTTACTTCATTTGTTTTCTGTGACTATTGAAGTAAAAGGCAATCACTCCCCCATATGATTCCCATGAGACCAATTTCTCCTAAAAGTTCTGTCCTGTTCAGTCTAGTTCGATTAGGCCTGGCTATCTTTTAGTCAAACCAAATCATCTTATGAAATTAATAACATATGTACACATACCCCCAAATGCTTTTCTTTGTTACTTAGGTATGGAAACCTCACCAAAAAGGCTTTTTCATGGGAGAATTTAAATACCTTCGGTTTTGCTCTTTAATGTGTTTCTCTTGTTACAGCAAACGATATGGAACATTGAACCTTATCAATGAGTCATGAATTTCCAAGAGATCTTGTATTTCAAAATACTGCAAATAGGTTTGTAGAAAAGAACACAAAAAAATTAACTTTCTTTGAGAAAGCTGAGAAAGGACTACTTGGGTCAATCAATGTAGTTTTTCCCAACCAGAAACCTCATTACAAAATACCTTAAAAATTATCAAGCTCCAGCTTTTAAAAACATCAGTTTGCCCTCTGCTGTTCCTATTGACATGATTTTTCAGGACATTCAGCAGTTAGAAGACTCACAGCTTCCAATCTAAAAATTAATGCAGACTTTATATTCATGACCCTTCAGCTCTTTTCCCTTTCCCATCTTTACTCTCTTGATGTTTTTTACAGGCTGAAATGACACTCCTCAGCTTATGTGCTGCCTTACGAGGCAAGCCTTTAGTGGAACAGAATTTTAAAGACGTTTTTATTTAAAAAGAAATTTCACAGCCATAGAATTCACAGAACATCCTTCCTCTTCCTAGCAGGGCAGAATTGGGACATAAAAAAACCACAGCAGCTACAAAGTTAAGGTGATAGAATCCTACCCTCCTGTCAGTCTCTCCTCCAGCTTTTCTTCCCCCACATATGCACAGCTCGGGGAATTTGTGTAGAGATCTGGCTCTATTTGTCAGCACCCAAACAAGTTGTAAAACAAATCATGCAACCTAATTTTAGTCCTGGCAAAGCCAACATTGCTGCTATCCTAATGCCTATAATCTGCCTCAGAGAAAAATGCTTTGGAGGCAGAATTGTTTAATTACTTCAAGGGCTGTTGGCCAACTAAGGCTCACCAGGCTTCCAGCTGGCAGAAGCATAAGCACACTCTCCATTACAAGAAGCAGGTTGCCATATTAAATTCTGGATCAGATTTTAGATCATGTCTTACTTGTGTCCAGAGGATGGCAAACTTGCTCATGCCCACAATTGCTAGAGAAGTTTTGTACCTTTGCTCTGCTTAACAACTGAGAACTATCAACTCTAACATTTGAGGAGAAAGTGGATTCTCCTCTCCATTATTCGCAGCACCTCTCACAGAAACTGCTGCTGGGAGCAGGGGCTCTGTGAGCTGAGACTATGCTGGAACAGCTAGCATTGCATCCTGTCAGCAGGACACCATCTGACTTTATCTTTCTGGGTTTTTAAAAATTATTTTAAATGTTGTTGCTGCCTTGTTATAAAACAAATAATTAAATATTACAAAAGCAAATAGTTTTAAATAACTGGCAGCGCCAGATGTGCACCCCTTACATCTCCAGTGTCAGTGTTTGTTCATCCTGAGAATATGCTGACTGCAGTGAAGATGAGAAAGGAAATATTGTCAGCAGTTCTAGACATTGTTACCTGAAATAATCTTCTGTTCCTTCATACAGTTTTCCAGAAACATTTTTGTTACATATATTCTTACTGCGCCAGAGGGAAACCAAGAGAAACTTGGCGCAAAGCAAAGGTCGGGACGCCTGTCCCTTGCTCCCCAGGCAGAACCCAACGCTGTTCACTCTCCTACCGCGTCCCCACCCTGGAGGGCAAAATGTAGTCGTCTCACAAGCGCCCTAACAAGAGCCGCCGAGCTCAGACTCGCCGTCAGACGAGCCGAACGCAGCTGCAAGCCTCGGCGTTTGGGTGTTCCGGAGCCGGGCTGCTTCACCTGGTACCTACAACGCCAAGGATGGGTAACTCGGGTTAGGATTTCCTGCAGCCACGCAGGCGTTAGTCAAGGCAGCTTCAGCGTCCCACACGGTGTCGGAGCTCGCCGGCACGGACCCTGCGGGTACAGCCCCGCGTCTCACGGCTCTGCTCTGCTCCGCTCCGCTCGGCGGCATCTCCCTTTCCCCAAACCCTGCGCAGCACCCGCAGCCTCACCTCGGCGGACAGGTGAGGTGAGCCCAGCTCTGCCCTGCCCCCGCCACGCCCGGCCGCGCCGGAC